AGTGAATACAATGAATGAATGGAGTCCAGAGCTGTCCAGAGAGACTTGGGCACCTACCAGTAGGGCCGGGGGTGCTCAGCCCCCTCCCCAGGTTTGTGAGCACGTCCTGAAGGAAAACTGAGTGGATTAATGAGTGAAGTGATGGACATCAGAGCTGTTTTCTGCTCTGATCCTCCTGGTGGGATGGCACTACTTTCTTTTGTCAAAGATGGAAGTCGGGGGAGTCCTGGAGGTGCTGACGTGTGGTTGTGTCCGTGCTGTGCCCTGCGAGGCTCACATCGGCCTGGACCAAAGTGGCCTCAGAACAGCTTCCCTTCCCAGCGGGAGCACACTTCACTGCGAGCACCATTGAAGGACCTGGGTGTTCTTGGAATTGCCTCAGATTATTGGCTCTAGACCAGAACTAAATACCCACCTTTGCACAGCCAGTGGCGGAAAAGCTTATGTTCCCAGTGGTAGGACTCCCTAGAACCTCAAAATGTACTTTGAAAAAGTTATTTTTACTTTGAAACTATTCACAAATAGGAAAAACAAAACAACATAAAAAGAAAAACTTGTGTCGTCTTGTGGTATCAAAGTTCTAAATTGAGTGAAGGGAAAAAATGGCTCAAAGAATATGTCTCTCTCGTTTGGTCTCTTGCTTAAGGAATGAGCCCAGTGTGTAGTCACTGAGGTTGTGCTTTTCTGAAGAGTTGTAATAAGAATAATGGGGTTAAACCAACTTGTACATCTCATAAGCTTGGTTTACACCCAAGTGTGAAAATATTCTGGAAATCTACAGTTTTTAAAATTCCAGGGATGATCTAGGTAATCAAGTCCTTCCAATGAAAGTTTGTTTTTCTATCCTTGTCTTTTTCTTTGTCTTTCTTCCTTTGTTTTCCTGATGCAGGAAGCCATCCAGGGTGTACTGAACCATGTGGAGTATGAGCTGAGGGTCGCTTAGCAGCTTTGCTGGGGCTGCATCTGCACACTGAAAGGGGCATCTTTTCCTGATTGGCACAAGGTGCCGCAGGGGTTAGCAGCAGCCCTAGTCACATAGTAGTGGTTTTTAAAGTGACTGTTGTTACAGGTGAAAGTGGAGCCAGAGTGCTTTGTAGCCCTGTTTCATTTGTGTGAGTTTATCTTGTTCTTGTCACACCCAGCGCTGCACTCTCCCGAGTGTGCCACGGGCTCGGCCCCATGGTAGTGGTTTTTAAAGTGACTGTTACAGGTGAAAGTGGAGCCAGAGTGCTTTGTAGCTGTTTTATTTGTATGAGCTCGTCTTGTTCTTGTCCCCCTGCCTTCCCCAACATGGGCCCTGCACCTCCCTCCTGCCACCACCATCTCTCCTTGTAGCTGCCAGAATGATTTATTTAAAAGGTCAATCGGGTTGTTTCACTCTGATGCTCAAAACCTCTAGTGGCTTCTGTCATATAGAGCACAGTCAAAAGTCCTCATGGCCTTCAGAAATATATGTGGCCCTGGCCACCTCTTCACCTTCATTTCCTGCTCTGCCCTACATTTGAGAACTCTAATCACCCTGGCCAACCTGCAGTTCACCTTGCGGGCCACGGGGGCTCCCACCTTAGTGCCTCTGCACTTGCTTTTTCCTTTTCTTGACCATTCTTCTTCCTGGTAGCCACGTGCCCGTGTGGCTCACTTTCTCCTGTTGCACAGTTTTCTGCTCAGGTGTCACTTTCTTGAGTAGGAACAGCTCGTCTAAAATATGGCCCTCTGTCTTCCACGTTCTTTATCCCCTCACCATGATTTATTTTCCTTCTTCATGCTTATCACTGCATAGTAGTACATATTTACTTATCAACTGTCTTTTTCTCTGCATTATAAGCAACTCTCTTGTGCGGTGTTGCCTGTATTGTTCATTCCCATTTCCCCCAAACCTAAAACAGTACCTGGCTAGAGTAGGCTTCCAGTTATATAGTGAGTGCATGAGTGACTTGGACTAGGTTAGTGGTGATGGAGACAGAAAGAAATGAACCAATTCCAGACATATCTGGAGATAAGAGCAGCAGGACTTGAATTAGGCATGGAAGGGTAAAGGAGATGGAGTTCTCAGGAATGCTTATTTGGTTTGTGGCTTGTTCCAGGATGGACAATGATATTCAATGAGATAGTAACACGATGGAGATCAGATTCAGAGGATGGTATAAATTTTTTTTTTTTGTCTTTTTTTTTTTTCCGTGTCCGGCAACGGATCGCAACCCTCAGTGTCGCCCCCGTACCGGACCAGGACCGGCAACGGGATCGCAACCCTCGGCGTTGCCCCCGCGCCTCGCTCAGCCAGTGAGCGGGAACCGGTCTGTATGTGGGATCCGAACCCTCGGCGGGAGCGCCGCCACACTTCCCAAGCGGCGCACTAGCGCAGTGCGCCACCGGGCCGGCCCCAGGATGGTATAAATTTGATTTTTTACTTTTGGGGGGAGTTTTACTTTAAAAAAAATTTTTTTTTTTTTGAGACAATCGTAGATTGATCAATTTTAAGTAGTAGTACAGAGAGACACCATGTTCTTTGTACTTAGTTTCAAAACCATAGTATAGTAATCACAGCCAGCATACCTGCCAGCCACAACAACAACAACAAAAAATATCTTGTATATAAACCAGTATGTTGTGAAATTTCAAACCATGTAGCAAATGGGAATGAAAATATTTAGGACTTGTGTGAACATATAAAGAAACAATGAAAACCAAACTATTGACATTGATGCAGTGAAGATACATAAGAATTCCTTCAGTCACCACACGGATCTCTCCTCTTAACCATTTTTATGCACATCCACGTCCCTCTTGTCCACTGCCCCTGTTCCCTGCCTCTTGTCCTTAACCCCTGGTAACACTTATCTGGTCTCCATATAGTTTTGTCATTTCAAGAATGTTACATAAATGGAACAAACAATAAAGTGTATGACCTTTGGGGATTTTTTTTTCCTCAGCAAAACTCTCGAAATTCATCCAAGTAGTTGTATGTATCAATACTTCATTTCTTTTGATTGCTGAGTAGTATTCCTTGGAATGGATATACCATAGTTTGTATAACCATTCGCTTTTTGAAGGACATCTGGATTATTTCCAATTGTTGGCAATTATGAATAACACTGCTGTAATTATTTGTGTACAGGTTTTTGTGTAAAAATAAGCTGTTATTTTTCTGCAGTAATTGCCCAGGAGTGGAATTGCTGGAGCATATAGTAGTGGTATGTTTAGTTTTGGAAAGACACAGCCAAATTGTTTTCCAGAGTGGCTGTGC